CCTGGAGGTGCTGTGTGGACCCTGTGTCCCTCCTGGAGGAGCTGTGTGGACCCTGTGTCCCTCCTGGAGGTGCTGTGTGGATGCCTGTGTCCCTCCCTGGAGGTGCTGTGTGGACCCTGTGTCCCTCCCTGGAGGTGCTGTGTGGACCCTGTGTCCCTCCTGGAGGAGCTGTGTGGACCCTGTGTCCCTCCTGGAGGTGCTGTGTGGATGCCTGTGTCCCTCCCTGGAGGTGCTGTGTGGACCCTGTGTCCCTCCCTGGAGGTGCTGTGTGGACCCTGTGTCCCTCTTGGAGGTGCTGTGTGGACCCTGTGTCCCTCTTGGAGGTGCTGTGTGGACCCTGTGTCCCTCCCTGGAGGAGCTGTGTGGACCCTGTGTCCCTCCCTGGAGGAGCTGTGTGGATGCCCGTGTCCCTCCCTGGAGGTGCTGTGTGGACCCTGTGTCCCTCCCTGGAGGTGCTGTGTGGATGCCCGTGTCCCTCCCTGGAGGTGCTGTGTGGACCCTGTGTCCCTCCTGGAGTCCCTCTCTACTGCTCTGGCTTCTTGCTGACGCACATCCTGGGAGGCAGGAGGTGGTGGCACGAGCACTGGGTCCTTGCCCTCCACGTGATGACCTGGACTGGGTTCCCAGGACCTGGCTTTGGTGTGGCCCAGCCCTGGCTGTTGTGGGTAGTTGGGGAAGATGGAAGATCTGTCTGTCTGTTTCTTCTAATTCTGTCTGCATTTCAAAGAAAAAACTTACTTGTCCCCAAAGGCTCAGAGCTGTTCAAGGTAAAGATATGTTTCCATAAGAGAGTGGATGTTTACCACTTCCAGAGTGTGGAAGGGTCGCAGGAGACGTGGTCGCAGACGCTTCCGAGTAGGGATGGTTTTGTCTGCAGAGCTCAGACTCAAGCTGAGGGGAGGGGGTCCGTGGTGGGCAGACACCTGGGCGTCAGTCTGGGCACGGCTGTCTCTTCAGCGCAGGTACTCCGTTTTGTTCACCCGTAAGTTGCCTGACAGGTTTCTAGTTTGTGCTTGTGTGATGGACATTGTTCTTGGTGTTGGGCAGGAGAGATTCGGAGCCCTGGGCCCTGGTCGTGACACAGCAGGTAGCTATGAGTGTCACACTGGCGTCCCGAGTGGCGCAAGTCCCAGCTGCTCTGCTTCCAGCCGGGCTCCCTGCTGATGCACCTGGGAGAGCGGCAGAAGTGGCCTCAGCGCGGGGCCCTGCACCCACGTGGGAGACCAGGCGGATTCCAGGTCCCTGCTGTGGCCTAGCCAAGCCTTGGCCCAAGCAGCCAGTTGGAGAGGGAATCGGTGGTTAAAAGATCCCTCTCGTCTTTTCCTCTCTCTCTGTAACCCTTCTTTCAAATAAATCTTAGAGAGAGAGAGAGAGAGAGAAGACTGGCGTCGTTTTCCGTGTAGACCTAGTAGCTTGTTCAAGGTAATTGAGTGAAATATTTTGTAGGTAATTAGAATCTGGGTGTATTTTAATTGTTTGGGAAAATTTAATGGGGGTGTTTACTACATTAATGAGAAAAAATAAAAATGTTAACATCGTTTAGCGTTTTTAAATGCCAAAGTTCCACTGAAGTGCCATTGGTGTATTCATGTTTTGTTTTCAGATGTGTGTTGATTTTAAATTGTGACCCTTGCAGGGCGTGCCCGATCTGTCTGATGTACGTTCCCCACCAAAGTCGCCAGAAGCAAAAACAAGTTCCCAGACCACCCCCAGTAAGGTGAGTCTCCCGGCCTCTGCAGCGACTCCTCTGGGCTCTGCTTGTTTTCTTCCTAACAAAATCTGTTTTCTCTGATTGTTTTTTCTAACACAGAGCTGTTTGGTTTCTTGAGGTATTTTTTTCTCTTTATGTATTTTTAAAAGCTTATTCTTTGGCTTTGTTGGTAGTATTTTGAATTTCATGCTTATGGGAAGAAATACAGTTAACAATACTAGAATATTTGGACTTGTGATATCTTGAATTTTTCTTTCATTAGTAAGGAAGATTAATTTTATTCTTAGCTTAGGAAAATAAAAGCAGGTTCTAGAATATAAAGTCTTTGTGTTGATTAGTGTGGACTTCCAGTTGGATGATCAGGTTTGGAATAGTAAACTATGATGGTTTCTTACGTGCGTGAACTACTTTGGGATCTGTAAGAAAATGCGTTCTGTTAGGTTTGTTTATCTGTTGTGTTTATGAATCGTAAAGAGGAGACCCCATTCTGAGATTGTGGCGTACGGGAGGAGAAGCTGAGTTGGACTCTGGAGTTTGAGGGCCTGGATGTGCATGATTCCGGAGCGAATCAGGAGATGGGCGGCAGAGTTGTCAGGGTGAGGGCAGCACCAGCTGGCGTGGCCCGGGGCGCGTGTGGGTCGTGTCTTAGTGCCCTGAGAACACCACAGACCCAGCACCGTGGGCCGGCCCGGAAGGCCCAGTGCCGGGGTCAGACCTGTGCCTTCCGTGTGTCCTCACGGCGGTGGAGGGTGCGGGCTCTGCCCTCGGCACCTGGTCGCCTCCCAGCACGCACTCGGGCTCGGATTCCAGCAGTCGTCGCGGGTCAGGTTTGTGGTTTCTGCTCTGTGGAGCGCGTTGCGTGGGGCAGGCTCTGTGCAGGTTCCGGGTGCGCCTTGACTAAAAGGCGCCGGGTGAGCCGTGACTCCCTGGCTACCTGAGTGTGTTCTCAGCCTCCAGGACCAGAGACTGGCTGCGTGATCGCTGTTGCTGATTGTATGTTCCTCGATGCTCTGGCTCCTTTTCATTTTCTTAGAAACCCAGAGAAGCTCCCTGCCGTGTTTCTAACCAAGGAGAGGGCCCACCACGTAGCTGCAGTGTTCCCGCCGAGCTTTCTAGGCAGCCTGGGCCAGCAGAGAAGGCCTGTGTTTTGAGGATTTTTTTCTCTGATGCTCACAGTAGCCTGGTGACAGAACGAGGTCCTGAGTAAATTTAGAAATTCCTTCAGTTGCAGGTGAAAGAGCCTGTCCAGGGTGGGCGGTGTCAGGCCCCGAGCCCTGTGAGGAGGGTGGGCAGTGAGGCCCGAGCCCTGTGAGGAGGGTGGGCAGTGAGGCCAGAGCCCTGTGGGGAGGGTGGGCAGTGAGGCCAGAGCCCTGTGAGGAGGGTGGGTGGTGTGAGGCCCGAGCCCTGTGAGGAGGGTGGGCAGTGAGGCCCCGAGCCCTGTGGGAAGAGATGGGCTGTGAAGGCCCGACCCCTGTGAAGAGGGTGGGCAGTGAGGCCCGA